CATGTTTACTTGATATTCCACAAATTTTTGTCATTTTACACAAAGACTTAAGAGACCTAGTCCCAAAATTGCCTTTAGGCATGTTAGGTCCAAAATACAGATCAACAATGTGTGTTACTGACTCAGGAAACATACAAAACCTTTGTTATTTATTATTATCTTTCATCCCAGATGTTGCAGTTACCAGATTTTATACTGATCATAGAATAGATCTCTAATTGCAGGTACCAGTTTTCTAGGGTTTTATTCTCTGCACACTTGAGATACAAAACTACAGTCAGTGACTTATAAAGGCTTATTGTACATAACTAGTGAAAAATATTTTAAATTCAGAAGTAACAAAAGCATGAAAACCTGTAACTAAACCTTGTATTTCAAAAGATTTTGTTCTGACCTATAGGTCCAAGACCTACTCCACCAGCTACAAAGTGAAACAAAGGCATAACTGGGCAAGTGAAGATCATGCTGGGCAATTACAAAAATAGCCTTATCACTGTATGCACCATGTGTGAAGCGAAGGGGAATACAAGTCATGCCTGAAAAGAAAAGCATGTAAATTAGAGAAAGGTCAGTATGGAATACACAATGGCTCAAGAACATATGTAAACAGGGTGATAATAATAAAGACCTCTTCTCTTCATTGCATAGAAACAGCTCTCCAGAAATTCTGGTTTCAGGTGGTTAAATTGGGCTGGAGTACTGAAAAGATTTGTGAAACTTCAAAAGATGAATATGTGTAGGAAACCAATGTAACTGAAAAGATGTCAAAGCAGCTTTCCTGAAGGATGCAGACAGACGTGTGAAAGTTCCCTGGTGGCAAGAAGAGGTAGAAGCACAATCATAAAATTAATCATGTAGAATTAGAGAAGAAATAAGTGATTGGCTGGTTAAGAGCAATACAGATTTTTTCTCAGAACTAAGATCACCCTGCACACTGAAGATGGATCATCCTCCAGAAGACACTGTCCATCCGAGAAAAACATTCTATAAGAGAATCCAATTCACTAGCATTTACCTGCCAATTCTCATACTCTCATACATGTAATCATACTCTCTTCATATGAAGATGCATCAATTTTTTTTTTCCCTTTGGATGCCACAAAGCCCAAAATCTTATGCAAGGCTGCAATCATACACTGTAGGCCATAAATATTTTTAACAAACTACTAGTTGGGTTGGGTTTTTTTCTTTATTATTTCAGGTATAAATTTTGTCACAACTGCATTCACCTGCATGGTAAAAAGGTTTCTACTCTCTTCCTAGCTCTCACAAGCATAACTTTTATTTTTTATGCTTTACTTTTTTCAACTTTTTCTGTCATAAAAATTTGCTTAATTCCCCAATTTCATGTGTCCCTTCAAGCATTTTAAATCTCGATAGTTCTACATTGCCAACAGATTTCCAATTCTGAGAGCAAGCGTTATAGGAATTCTTCATCTATGACTGAAAAGGACCGAATTTAAAGTTTCCATGTACATGTTTTCCATAATTTCATTGTCTGTAACCTAACAATACAGAGTAGTGGCTTACTTTCACTGGGACAAATTCACTGTTCAGGTCCACCCATTACACAAATAGAATCTTAACCTGTGGCAGTTATTTCTTTCAAGCCACTGACAGTGAATTCAAATAGTATTTTTTCTTCTCCACAGCACAATCTAAATGTGCACGTAGGATACATAACAAAAGATTAGCATTTATAGCTATTGTACTTGATGACACTATTTTCATTGAAAAACATTTGGTTTAATGTTAACACATAAAATGAGGAATTTTCTTAATACAACAAAGAGACTGAAATATTGAAAATGCAATAAAGAAAACTTCCTTCAGAGTTGTATCCCTTACTCAGTCATCATAGTGAGCGTGCTTTACTTTGTTGGTGCTTTGACTAACCTCAGATCCCAAAACAGCAGAAGTTTGAACCCTGCAAAATATGTAGAAGATTTCAGGAACAGAAAATGAGAGGTTCACTGTCCTTTGATGACCTCAGACCAAAGTTCCATGTCTCAGTTTTATACAAACATTAATTATGTAGAAGACATGTAGAGCACATGTAGGGGACAAAACTGTCCTGACAGAACTGGCAGAACCTTTTGAACCACGAGGCTACAATCTTCAATTCCATTCAAACTGGACCTTGAAAATTTAAATCCATGACAAGGCCTCTTATTCCTCTACCACTGTGATCCCAAATAGAGCTCAAACTAATTGTATGATTTGTTTTCTACTAGTGGACAACGAAGGTGCTCCAGTTTTATCGTTCAATCAAAACTGATCCCAGAGCTCTTAGGTTCGGATTCCACATTTAAATTGCAGTACTGCATGCCTGAATGTTTATGTCTAGGTTGATTCAGGAAAACATCTTTCATTTTAACACATGCTCAGTATAAACACATCTCTAACTCCTGCTCACATTGAGGCTCTATTGTCTCAAACAGAGCAAGATATTATTCAGCAATGTTAAAACTGTGTCTTCAAACAAATATAATTATGGGACTGAATAAAAAATAAATATATTTAAATAAATCATATGAAACATTTTTATCATCATTATGGAAGTTGGTAGTTAGAGTTTACTAAACCTCTGAACTATTTAAATAGCACATGTATCTAGTACATTCCCTATAGTGGAATCAAAAAATATTTTACAGTCCATAAGAATATAAGATTCAGCCCCACCATAAGTATACATCCAGTTCTGGGATGACCCAACAGAAAAAGAGAGCACCTAATTAAAAAAAATAAAGAGAAAAGCTTCCTCAATTTAAACTACAGGAAGGGCTCATGCATAAACTGTGAATTGATATAGCCTGAAATCTGGCCAGACTAGTGGGTAACTTCTACAGTCTTACCAGCAGCTCTACTCCAACTAATCTGCATTCATAGGGCCACAGTGCATCTCCCTCTATATCAGACCATAGTTACAATAAATACCTATATGTACCAACCAAAGTTTGCCTGGGTGATGAAAAGAACCAAAGCTGCAGGATGATGAGGGAAGTTTGTTAACGGCCTCATAACCAGCTTTGGAAATACTGTGGATCAATTCTTGGGTGCAACTTGCAATCACAGTCAAGAAATAAACTTATAGACCTCATACTGAAAGATCTATAGAAGGGAAAGTACTCAACTTCTGGGGAAAAAATAACACAAAACATTGCATAGGTAACATGGCAACTCCTTGTACCTCTGTGAGTTCTCCCAGTGTTTATTCAAACTTCTTTTTGTAAAATATTGCAGAGAAGGAAACAATATTTCTTCCACTCAGCTTAGGAAATTCAGGAAAATTCAACTTCTCTTCCATTGTCTGAATATCATTTGAGAAAATGGCAACTGCTTGCACTGCAGAATGGTAGTACTGGGACATGCCAACAAACATCAGAGTACTTTAAACCTTCATGATATAAAACAGAATTAACATCACTACAGATCAGCTACAAAAGAAGTTCAGTATGGCAGAGAATACATGTTAAACACAATTGTGAATTAACTGTATGATAAAAAGCACCATTAAATGTTAAACAAGAAAGCAATTGAAACTCTTTCATAAATGCTTTCTCTCCTTAAAGGAACAATTCAGCGGAAAAAAATCAAACCTTACAACTTTCTTTTTTTAACAGTCAACACAAATATGTGTAGGAGACTTTCTGGTGGTATTTTTTACTAGATCATATTTTTCCCAAATAAATTACATAAAAACATCAAAATCATTATTTTAATCATTAAAAATCTCCATATACTGGACTGCTAATTTTGAGTCAGTGCAATGCCTTAAACTCTAGAGCAATTTACCTTAAAGTAAATCCAAAAAAGAAATATAAGAAAATGGGAAAAATTATGGCTCAGATCCAGCACAACTATTTTGGCTGCCTTACTCTGCAGGTCAAGGTACATTGTTTTTCTGTTTCGAGTATTAGGAATTTACAAGCTCTTTTTAGTAGGACTGTTGTTCTAAATCGTTCCTGATCCTTATCCTCTCAGGGCTTAGTGGTTAAAAATTGGAAATAACTGCACTTAAGAAAGATTTCTCTTTTACCTATGCTGTAACCTTTCTCATGAATTCCCTAGTTTTGAAACAGGTTTCATGCATAAGACTGAGGAAAGATTTGTCTTTTATAGTAGATAGTAATCTCATAAAAAATGGTGAAAAGTACAATATGAGGTGAAAAAAGTCAGTTCCCATTCAAGAAGTCAAACCTGTCTGATTAGTGCCGTCACATTCCACTGTAATTTTGGCCAGAGAATAGTGAAAAGGTGTGCAAACTATTGGTTGATTCCATTTGGCTTGTGTGGAGCTGATTTCATTTAGTTTCTGCTTCTTTATAGCAAAGTCATTCACGATTCCAAATTGTTTAAATAAAACTAGCATCTGAGCAAGAGACCTTTGCTCTCTCATTCACAAATACCATCTGTGGTGTATGAGTGTGGCACTTCTGGTCTTGCCTTGACTAAACCCAAAATATTTCTGAATACTGAAGGACTGAATTCAAAGTGGTTTTCAAAGTAGCCACTGGAGTTGGAAAGTTATTCAAAAGGGATAATCAATGGGCTAAGGTTTCTCCAGTGGGTGATTTGGAGTCCTGATAACTGAAGCTCCAATTCAGATTTGCCCTCTAAGGAATCCTTTCTCTCACGCTCTAGATCTCCAGCAATTGCAGTGGGAATCTAGGGAGTTTAGCTTTAGCAAATTAAAACTGGCCTTTGTGAATACTTCCCTTTCCATGAAGGAAAATATTATCCAAACTATCAAACTATCACTTCTATTAGTGCTAAAAAAAAAAAAAAAGTATCTTAAAGGCTATGAAGTGATTTTTTTTTATGCAACTGAATCTTTTCTGTTTGTTCTTCCTCTGAGTACTTCAAATATTTACTCAGCAATAATCACGCTATTTTGATCAGAATGGAAAGAACTACATTGTACATAGGACTAGGGAGTAAAATAAAACTGTCATCATATTTTAATTTATTTACAGAAAGAGGATCTTGAGACAGTATGATTGCTTGTCATCAGGTTTTCATTCACTATATGCGAAATGAGCCTTCATACTTCCAGTTGGGTTTCATTCATTGCTGTCGAGTCTCTATGTGCAGATATGGTATACATCCTATGGGAAGGAGAAAGCACAACAGTTTATTCATACCAAGATGACAATTATGTTCCTAATTCTGGGAAACTATTTTTCCAGATAGTTTTGTTCACTGCACAGGCCTAGGAAAACCAGTTTGCATTCAGCATGAGGGACTGGGTGAAAATTCCTTCTTCCTTCAGCTAAACACAAATGCAGTTACCAAAGATTCACAGAAGGCTACTTTAGAGTTGTCTCCCATTTGCACAGAACTGCAGAAGGTTTTTTGGTAAACTAGAAATTCAGCACCTCTAACACAACATAAATAGTCTCTGTATGTTCTGCAGATAAATCTGACTGTAAGACTATAGCATAATCTTCTAAGGAAAGCTGTGGGAGCTTGAGATATTGACTCACTGAACAATACAACAAAAACTGCTGGGATTGATAAGGGAATAATAGAAAAGATGAAATGGGCATTCATGCCTCTAATAAGTACGTACTGAAGCACGTGATAAGGGAATAATAGAAAAGATGAAATGGGCATTTGTGCCTCTAATAAGTACGTACTGAAGCACATATGTTCTAGGCTTTTGAGGCAAGCTACTGGAATTCTATCGATTCACCATCACTTATATATGTTAGGGCATTTGTGCCCTATGTATCAGTCTACACTGTCAGATTAACACCTATCATTATCTCATTGTTCAATCACAGAAGATACTTGACTGACACAAGACAGAACTAGAAGTATTTTTCCTCTAAATGCACAATTTGTGTTTTCAGGAACTCCACTGGTGGTCAGCACCAATTTTATTGGAAAGTTGTAAATAGAAAAGAGGTCTTCTTATTACTCTTTATTTATTTGGGGTTGTGGTTTTGGTTTAGGGTTGGTTCTTTTTTGGTGGTCTGTTGTTTGGGGTTTTTTTTTTTGGTATGAGTGGTACCTAAAGGGTGATTAAGGAACTATTGTCTCTCCATGCTAATTCTGTGGCTGAAAGGCATAGTATTAACAGGTTAATTATGTTAGGAATTAACACAATTCTCTCCCATTTACTTTTGTCTGTCAGTGGAGGTCATCAACACCTTCTGGAGGTAATCAGATATGATGACATGAAAGAAAAGGAACAGGAGGACAGGACTGATCCAAAAACCATTAAAACAAATTGGACTTTTTTCAAACTATAAATGGAGTTACAGCAGGATCTAAAGGTGAAAAAAAAAGAAAAAACAACAAAAAAGCCAAACTAACAAACAAACAGAAAAAAAACCACATCTCCTTGCTTCACTTTTTACACCTACAGTCACTTTACAAATTTTTATGGCAAGAAGTACTCTGAATAGTTCATGATCAAAACCAAGATATAAGATTCAAAGAGCTGTGACTTTTGGTAGATCTTAGTTTGGTACTTTTTGGAATATTGTGTTCTTAAAGATACCCTTCTTCTCAAAGAAGGAATTACCTTGATTTCTTCAAAGAGCTCTTCTTCAACCCTCGTGATCGGCAGCAGGCAAACTTACAATCAATGACCTGGTAAATAATTGGGTTGTACATGGCTGCTGACTTTGCAAGCAAAGTTGGTACCACTGAAAACTGAATGGGAACTGAATCAGGCTGCCCAAAGGCTGACCACACAGAGACCACAGCGTATGGGATCCAGGCAATGAGGAACCCTGCACAGATCAACATTGCCACCTTGTGAGAGGAAAAGAGAAAAGAGAGAGCGTGGTTAGCATAGCAGTTTGACACTAGCAGCACAGCACAGAGCCAGGCAGAGTGCAAGGGAACATGCCACAGGATGGAAAAGAATGATAACTCTTTTCAGGTATTTTTACAATATGAACACAAGCTGTCACACATTTCTCTATTTAACATCTATCTGTTTTTCTTTCACCTGATACAGAGCAGTCAATCAGTTTGTTATCACAGACCTTTAAAAATGCTGTAAGATCTGGCTAAGCATGAGGAAACTAAATGAACTCTCAGAAATTAAATTTTTTTTTACATAAAATTTAAATTATTTTATGAGAGTCCTTTCAAAATATACAGGCTCTCTTGTTTAGGATAATATATAACAAAGACCTGTGAAAGGTTTTGAAAATCCTTGAAGCCTTTTTATTCTGTAGTCTCTTCCAACCAAATATTCCTCAGATTGTCAAAAAGAAACTCTCAGTCTCTTTTCCATTTCATCCAACCATGCACTGGGAAAACCAAACCAAACCAATATTAAACACAAATCTGCCAAATTCTGGGTTGTTTTAAATCAGATTCCAAAGTTCATAAAATCAAAGTGTTTGAAGGAGTTTCCAGGGCTGAATTAGGTTCTGATGATGTGTGGAAGTAGGGGACCCTGAGTGTTTGTAGGTGAGTTTATTTAGGGGGATATACTCTTGTCTATATCTGTTATAGCTCCTTCTGCTGCATCACTCAGTACCAGTCACTGAGGCAAAACCAAAGGAAAACAGTAAAATAAAAAAAGAGAAGATATTGTAACACCTTGATCTAACGCAAGGCTTCTTCTGCTCTTGTAGGTTGTGCTTATGTCCCCTAGAGAAGGTGTAAAAACCCAGTAGGACCAATAACCTGCCACAGGGATGGCAACTGGTAACAGGAGGAAGATTTTGGTAAACTAGGTCTATCTTCTGACAGCACCCATGAGAGGGTCTATGGACTACATTCAACTGGAAAAATGCCAACTCTTTGAATTCCTTTCAAGACAAACATGGAAAAAGTGAGCATAAAGTCATTCAATACGGCATGTCCTGTAAAGTTTCTGGGTCCCCCTCCAGCAGATAAAAACTAACTGCATTTACCTGGCCAAGCCAAAATTGAAAATACTGGTAATTTATTTGAGAGTGAGAATGCTAGTACAATGGCTAGGGTTTTTTTCTTCTAACCTATATCATGGATTTGCATTCCATTAGAACTCCATTAAAAAGCAAATTTCTACTAAGCATTTAGGTTGTATTTCTGGAATGCAGGAAGAAACAAGGAAAGGACTTCCTTATAAGATGCAGCCAAAGGAATGTTTAGTGTACATGTTAAAGAAAAATTGTCTAAATTTGTGATTTGCATACTTTACCTGAACCACCCTGCCCGCACTCAGACTGATACAGCTTCAAATGACATCATTCAATAATACATCCCTAAGGTCCTTTCCAACCCTAACTATTCGATGATTCTATGATTCTATGATCCTGAAGAACAGATGCCATTATACTGCTAGCATTGACAGATTATTACTACATCGAGACTGATAGCGATACATGTGCGCTCATTTGAAATAAGTCAATTAGTAGGATTATAACAAGAAATCATCAGAAAGCACAAAGGGTTTGGATATTGCATAATGTTTTGTGGAGCTTTTGGTTCCACCTCTTGATCTAGTATTTTTTTCAGGGGAACTTCATTGCTTTATGCTTTTTGTTGTTGTTGTCTGTCACTGAAGAAAGACTGCATGTGAGCCAAGGATCTCAGATGCAGCCTGTTTGTTATAAATTGTGCTGCGGCCTTAAATGAGTTATGATGGAGACCCATTTTCAATATTTATATATATCCTGAGACACGTTCTCCACTGCAGATCCAAGACAGAAGGGACAACTACTAGTGTCTCAACTGAGATCAAACTGAAGTTTTACAGGATCCCTCCAGTATAGCAAAAATAAATCTTCAACCTCAGATCAGTTTCCACTGTTTTTCAAAGGAAAGGTGCTGAATAACCATGAAACTGTACCATATTGAAGTATTCCTTTTTAAGGGCAAATATATTTTTACCAGCTATATTGGCAGCACTGACCATACAGGTATCTAGCTGAGATTCTCCAATATGTTTTGACATAATGCCACTTTCTGATGCATATTATATAACTCTCAGTTCAACTCCCCAAAAATGTAGTAAAATTTGATCAGCCAAGTGAAAGATGCCACTTGTCTCCCTCTTGGCAGGGCTTACAGAGGCTGGTGAATCTTCTACAACTAAGAAATCTGGCTTTATTCATTACAAGTTTTTATTTTGAGAGGTTTCCTGGCACAATAACCAGTATCAGCAAGGATCATGTCTGTCACTATTGCCAAATAGAAAACAGATTCAATCAGAAAGGGAATATAGGACACCATCTGAGATGGAAAATTAATTTTATCACTTGAGTGCACTTTTATCAGCAGCTCATGGCTGAACCTAGATGATAAACTATTTATATAAAAACAACTGAAATGTCACTGAGGTGACTTTGGTTTATATCTTCATTAATGGAGGAACATAAACTGTCTGAAAGTTTTATTTCCTTTCTGCAATAATCTGCTTTTTATCTGTTTTTTCTGTTATAATTCCTCTGCACCTTGAACGCCTTAAATAATCCTTTACAACTGTTTCTGAAAGCAAAGGGAGATTTACGATCGGGAGCAGGGCCACAGGAAAATGATACAGGCCATGTAAGGTCACACAAGGAGGTCTGTGGCAGAGCGTTTTAGTGAATCACGATCTCAGGGATTCAAGTACTCAGCTGGAAGCATAAAGACAGTGAAGGACTGCCTGGCATACCTGCTACCAAGAAATAAGCTGTACAACACAACCACAAGGAACAGGTTTGACCACAGTCTCAACCAGCAGCACTTGGTATAAAAATAGCTAACGAGGTACAAAGACACTCCTATTTCATACCTAAATGGGGGGTGAGATTTCAACACCAAATCATAGGGACAGATCGATGAGTTTGTCCTTCTTACCCTCTCCAGAAGGCACACCTTTTGGTTAAACTCACACGCTTGGTTACCCTGAGTGTTTTGACCAGGGAAAGTAAGCTTGTGATTACAATCCTATTGTTAGTGCTTCAGTTAATGCATTTATCACTGGCAAGCCAGAAGAACTCTATATGTCGCATATGAATAAACTGTACTATTTACATGTACTGGTAGAGCCAGTGAACCCAACTGGCTCTTTAAGAGGAAAGTCTAGTCAATAGACTTTCTGTGCATCCAGTGTTGGGCCTACAGCTAGTTTTCATTTTTTTGCCTACAGTTCACATTTTAATTTTCCTGCAACAGTGCCCTTGTCACAAAATTATGTTTCAACTCCTGTCTTATTCTATCTCAACAGTAATGGAGGAGAAAGCTAGAAGAGCCACCTTCAGAGAATTTTACAATTGCTTAGCATAGCAGAGCACATGGCTGAAGACCTCCAAGCCTGTTTTCACAACCCATCAAAGCAAACTAAGTTAAATCTTCCTACCTACCTTGGTCAGCTTCATTTCAAGTATGTTGCTATTCTGAATCCTGGTATCATAGTGAGCAACCTCTTTGGTGGATGATTTGACTTTTAAAATTATTTTGACATAAGAAAACAAAATCACAGCAGTTGGGAACAGGAGGCAAAAGAAAAGAATGCTCAGAATAAAAGCCTGTCCAGCCACTGAAGCTTGTGCCAGCCACCAGTCCAGAGTGCAGGAAGTGCCAAATGGCTCAGGGGCATAGCTCCCCACACCAGTGAAAGGCACTGTAGCCCAGAATGTCGCATAGCCCCAGATTACTGCCAGACAGATGAATGCGTGATGTCTCTTAAGCCAGGTACCTGAAAGATAAGTCAAGAGTTACAACTTCAGGTCAATACGTATTTGACACAATTGAACATCTCATTTTACACGTACAGTAGGATGTTTTCGGCTGTTTGACAGCAACTTTGTATGGTTCATCTCGCCTCTTTCTAGGTATAGACAGTGACCCCTGAGCTAGCCACCATTGCTGGCATTCTACCTCATGAAGAGAAATGCACACTCATATGGAGCACTCCACTTGACTGCATTTCAGATCTTTACTTTAGACTGCGATGATTTACAACCTGGAAGAGTACATACAAAAGCAATACAAACAAGTAGCTCAACAGCAGTTGTGGGAATCTTGTCTAGCAATTTTGAAGCTTGCTGTGTGGTCTGTAAAGGTGTATTCATAGTATGCGGTCAGATGAGATGGAGTTTCAACACAAATGAAGGACGATCTTTAATTCAGCCTTTCATTACTCTGTGTGAAAGCTCACTAGCTGCAACTGTATAATGTAACTTAGTTATTTCCTATTCCTCCTGTCATATATTAAGTGACTAAAGTTTGATCTCAGGTTGCTTCTCAACATTAGTTATTAACCCAAGTGACTGAAAGACAAAGCTTTACAGAGGAAATAGCCAAGGATTTATTTTTACTTTGCCATTCTTTTCCAGTACGATGAATCACCATGTGTGTACTATCAGAAGTATTTGTAATAGGTATTTTCATGTGTCCTTGCCCATTTCTTTTTATTTAATGCCATTGTCATGTCTGGAGTTGTAGGGTGGAACACGGTCTCTCTGTTCACCTTGCATACAATTCTAATTCATCTAGAAAAAGCTTCAGTTTACAAGCTTTCCATCATCACCTTTATTCAACACGTTAGATTGAGATAGGACTACCAAGTTAAAATCAATGACTTCTGCAGAAGCTCAGCCGATGTTATTGTAACAGCTCCTTCCACCTTGGAAGATCTAATCTGTTTTCGCTCCCCATCCATTGACTTTGATGAGCTTTCTTGAATGTTTGAGAATGACTTAGTACAAAGCCAAAGCAAAGAAACAATTGCAATTTGGATGTGACCAGTGCCCCTTCCCCAGCTGATTTTGTTTCCAGATTACTAGAAGGAAAATGAACACTGAATGACAAATTCTGTATTCAAGCAGAATGACTGAGAGACAGAAGGGTGCTTTGTTGTGTTCTGATGTAGAACAAGGCAACAAGGTGATTTTCATATGTAAAGTCACCTTGTTTATTCCCTGTATTTTGTTGGGGAGTTAGCCCCTTCTAATGCAAAAAAAAAAATCTTCTCTAAACCATGACAACATCTTTTAGCTGTAAAGGATGAAGCATACAATACATTGTATTTAAGAGATATAAAATATTGATGGATATGATGATAACAGCTTTCATTGCTCAATTCATTGCGTCCTCTCAGGTTCCATCTCCATATCAGATAGATGATATCATATTGTGACCTATTAATAGGCCTTGATAGACACAAAGTGATTTATCTATAAATGATTACTAAAACTCATAGCTTAGCAGACAGCAAAAGTGATATATTCAGGAATACAAATTTAGCTGGAATTACTTGGATCATGAAAATATGTTTTTCTTATCTGTGTATTCCCCTCTATATTTAACAAAAACATTCTGAAGAGCTTAAGTATGATTCCAGTCTAGAAAACTATATCACGTAGTATAGATTTTCTATGTTCACATAATACAGCTTTCTTTCTTACCATATGACAAGTGGCAGATTTTTAGGTATCTATCCAGGCTGACAGCTGTCATGGTAATGAGGCTCCCACAACCAAAGAAGAAACCAGCCCATCCATACCAGCGGCAGCCCATCCATCCAAACACCCAGCGGTGAGAAAAGAAGGAAATGATACTAAAGGGTTTTCCTACAACTTCAAAAGGAGAAAAGAATGTCAGTTGACTGGTAACATCCATCACTGATTAAAAAAACCTTTTTCAGAAAGGGTCACCTGGCCACAAATACTAAAAAGTTTTAAGCATCCTCAAACAGAATAGAAATACTTAACTATTTTGGAGACTGTCCCAGTGGCACCTTAGATTATTTCTCCATTTGTAAGACAAGGTAGTGCATTATGGAAGAAATGAAGTTAGGTCATATGTTGTTCCATTTTCACCTTATAGCAGATTAGTATTATCCATATTCTTTATAAGTATCATGAAAATGAGAAAGTTTGAAAATTGTAATTTTCTAGTTGGAAATCTCCATTTCCTGATTTTCCTTTTGTCTCAGACTGGACTAACAGAAAAAAAATCAACTCTAATGGAACAGAAAACTCAAAAATGTACAATCTAGGAATATCAGCACAATTTACAAATCCCTCATTTCTGCTTACCAGACTGACCTGAAATGTTTCAAGGCCTGAACAGTTCAACTGCAACATTCAAATAACATTAAATATTGAACTCCGCCTTCTTGTGACTGTATTCCTTCCTGCCAGCAGTTGCCAGAGCACCTGAAGGATTTGAAAGCAAGTCAGCTGCCTTGGGCTGGTTTTCCTGGCTGAACCACACTGTCTGTAATGTCATGACAGCTCAGTGAATTGGTTTATAAAGTAGTCTTGCAAGCTGTAATTCCCACAAGGTAACCTATTCATAGAAATCAAGACAAAATTCTCTATTTTGTTGACGTGATTTGTAGAAAACTATTTTGGATTGTTCCCCAAAATATTCCATCTCAGATGAAACTGATGAGAAATTAAACATTCTGTTTTCATTCTTACCAGAAAGTTGAAACATTTCTACCAAAACAAAATCTTTAAGAAAATGGCCTTTGATACATGACTGAAAACCCTTCAAAATAAGACTTATTTTTAAACACAGCATTTTGGGATTCTTTTCTTTTAGTCTAAGACTGAGCCTTCAGGCTGAGCCTGAAGGTTGTGCTCAGGTCAATATATTATGTCTGCTTTTCTTCAAGCAGAATAAATGTGCTTGAATTTTTCAAGCAAAAGCTGACTCCAGGCAAGGCTTGAAAAAAACCCACAAAATAAGCAAAGGTCTGGCATATATGCTAAGAGTCAGCAACGTTATCCATGTAAAGCATTGCCAGCTCCAAAAGCCAGCACATTTCTTTACACAAAATCAACTTTCCCTCCAACAGCACAGAACTCAAAGCAAGGTGTCTGTGTGAAACGCGCCTGATGAAGTTTTGATCAAGTGCCTGGTGCCACCCTGTGGAAACCTTCAGGAAGTAGGGCTGCGGCAGAACCTGTTTCTTGAACAAGTGTGTGAAATGCAATGATTTTGGAAAAAGTCCCATCTTCATTTTGAGGCAGAGCACATCACATTTCTCCAGTTAACGTCTTCCATTTTAAAAAAGTAAACTAAAGAGAATGGAGAAAAAGCACGCATGGCTATGCCAATCGCAGTGACCAAGTATATCATTTTAACAGTGAAACTAGCAGCCCTCATGCTAAGAGCGTTCCCAAATAAGCTGTAGTTTGCATGCTTGGGACATATAACTTACGTGGTTAGGAGATATCTGTTTACATTCAAATATATAGCTTTGGAAATTCTCCTGAAACACTCTATCTCATTGGAGTGACTGTCATCAGAGTTAGATATGAGCCTTATAAAATAAGACAGACTTTCAAGACACAAAGGAGATGGGATCATCACAGAAGAGGCAAAAAACTGGTGTGGGTTTGTTTGGGGTTTTTTTCACTTCGAAGTGCTGCAAGATGGAAATAGAGCCTCCATGGCAGATATGCCAAAGAAATCATTGGGATTTATTTGTGTGATAGCAGAGCAGAGATATTTATACTAAATCCTTTCTTCTGCTGAATTCATCAGTGTCTCCTTCAGACAACCATGCTTACTGATCACCGAGAGGCATCGAAAGTACTGGAAGTTGAGGCAGGGACATGTGTAGTGACAGCACAATTAACCCCAATTTTGGGAGCCTGGGAGCCATCGTTTTATGTAGTTCAGTGCTATTTTAGGTTTTTGGATGAGGGCAAAAGCATTTGGCAGAGACAAGGGCTGGAAAAGGATGCACTGGAGCTAAGGGCAGGGATCCTGGTATATGCAACCGTAGGGGACAGATGACTTTGGGAGCATGGGAACATACTGGCATTTATATCGCACTGGGAAGATCCCATGGTCAGCTGGGTCACATCAGGCTTTCATACCCATTCGATTATCTGTCACCCAAAATACCTTTTTTCAAAAGGACATCCAGTCCTCCCCAGTATTTGCACATAGCCATGAGTAGCTGCATGAGACTCATGTCAAGAACAAAAAGAATGACCTCCAAAGGCTTTTGACTCTGCAAGTTCATGCAAACCTTTCCAAAGCTCCTTCTTCTCATGCCAGGACAACCAGACTGCAGGGCTGAAATAAAAATCACTCCAGTTGGCTGAAATTGTTCTTACTCTATAGACTGACACAAATGTTTATTTTCCTGACCCAAAGGTAAAAGAGAATGGTCACTAGAGAAAAAATGATTAGCTTTGGTAAACTGATGGCCACTGGCAATTTCCTATTCTTTCCCTTCATGCCTCACCCCACTCATATTTGGCTAAATATGTATTTTTGAGGCACCTGGATCCATTCTTCTGCACCCTACAGCAAGAAAATATCATTTTCTTCAACCATAATACCACACTCTTTTGTGGCTATTGCTCCAGGATGCATAAGAGAGCTGTCTTTGAAGGCCAGACCACTGCTGGAGTAAGCATGAGTTTTGCCTGATTGATTGATAAATTCAACCTTATTTTTTCCTCTGTACTTTTCATTTCTTCCCATTACATTGTTCAGGAATGTTGTTTTCTATCCTTCTTTGTTATATACAAATAATAGAGCAAATAATAGACATATTATTTGACAGGGAATAACTTGATGAAATATAACAAGGGAAAGTGTAGAGTCCTGCATCTGGGCAGGAACAACCCCAGGTTCCAGTATAGGTTGGGAAACGACCTGTTAGACAGCAGTGTAGGGGAGAGGGACCTGGGGGTCCTAGTGGACAACAGGATGACCATGAGCCAACACTGTGCCCTTGTGGCCAAGAAGGCCAATGGCATCCTGGGGTGTATTAGAAGGGGGGTGGTTAGTAGGTCGAGAGAGGTCCTCCTTCCCCTCTACTCTGCCCTGGTGAGACCCCATCTGGAATATTGTGTCCAGTTCTGGGCCCCTCAGTTCAAGAAGGACAGGGACCTGCTGGAGAGAGTCCAGCGCAGGGCAATGAAGATGATTAAGGGAGTGGAGCATCTCCCTTATGAGGAAAGACTGAGGGAGCTGGGTCTCTATATTAGAGAAGAGGAGACTGAGGGGTGACCTTATAAGTGTATATAAATATATAAAGGGGGAGTGTCACGAGGATGGAGCCAGGCTCTACTCAGTGGCAAACAATGATAGGACAAGGGGTAATGGGTCCAAACTGGAACACAAGAGGTTCCACTTAAACTTGAGAAGAAACTTCTCAGTGAGGGTGACGGAACACTGGAACAGGCTGCCCAGGGAGGTTGTGGAGTCTCCTTCCCTGGAGACATTCAAAACCCGCCTGGACACATTCTTGTGTAACATTATCTAGGTGTTCCTGCACCGGCAGGGGGATTGGACTAGATGATCTTTCGAGGTCCCTTCCAATCTCTAGCATACTGTGATACTGTGATACACAAATAGTAGCAAAAGGCATTTTGGGCTTTCATGACTTCCAGAGGACTGTGTCTTGCTGTTCCCAGAAAGAATGGTGGGATAGTAAAAATGAGTGAAAATAAGACATGAATTTACCTGAAATGCCCAGATCACACACTGCTAAATTAACAGTCATTATCTCAGCAGGTCTCAACTTCTTTTTTCGCTTTGAGGACATAAAAATAACATAGCCATTTCCCAGAGTTGAAAGAATCCCTATAAAAATGCAAAAAGAAACCAAATCAAATTAGGATTCTTCTCAAAACTAGCAATATCACATCTTCCTTTCAATATTCTGTGATATTTTTGGCCTGAACCCGTGGTCGCAAGGATAGGCATTTTACTGTGACACACGATCATCTCATCTTCATTATGCAGCTCACAGAGACATCAGCTGCAGGCATCTACCTCCCACAACAAAGGCTATTTTCCCCCTCTGCTGCAGGACACTGCCTTCACCATTTGAGCCTGCACAACTATCCACTAAATGCACATAATAGAAATCCCATAATTCCTCTGCTTTGATTAACCCCATTTTCCTCACAAACATTTATACAACCATGAATGAATGGCTGTATTCTGTCATATACACATACTCTGTCATAGAAACGGAATGAAATTTTATCTGTCTGTAATCAGAAGGACCCCAATCTCTGACCAACCTTGATTTTATTAATTACTATAAGCAGAGATTGAGGGATACATTTCTAAAATAATGTAAGTTAATATATTAATATTACATCTTAAATTGTAAAATAAATATTTATTTCTATCACAAGAAAGCAAGATAATAAAATATATCTGATTTCAACTTCCAGACGGAATTCAGTGCACAAGGAGGGATCCTGTTCATGTTGACTGACACCTTTTCTGCATGTTACCACCCAAGGGCCTGCAGGGACCAACACTGCACATAGTTAATCAGGCGTGGATTTTAATCACGCTGGTACCAAAAATTGCAGGGTTTACAGGTCCATTAAAGAAAACTGTTCCTTCACTAACTCATGTCTGAAGGAGTTCAAGCCCAGGGTGAACGTTTCAGTAGAAACACAGGACATCATCCCTTTCAGGAAGCAAGAGTCACCCGAAAGGCAAACACACTAAAGGGACAACAGCCCATGGAGGCTTCAGCAACAGGAGAGGGGGCAAGTAAGAAGGAGGGAGAAACAGAAGAAAAGAATGAAGAGCAAAGAGTGTCCATTCCCTACCAAAGTGACCTAGAACAGCAACAAAGGAGATGATATTGGAATGAAGTTCAGCCTGGGAAAGGGTGAGGAAAGTGTTTTCCCTAATTATTTTATGTTTGTCATCTTTGTTTCTCACTACCCAAATCAGAAATTAAACTTAAATTCCCCATGATGAGCCTGTTTTACCCACAGGAGTAATTGGTGATTGATTCCCCGTCTTTACCTTCACTCTGTTATCTCCACTGCTTTTGCTCTTCCAGTTTTCTTCCCATCCTATTGTGGGGGCTGTAAGCAATTGGCTGCCCTGGGTGCTTGGCTATTAGCTGAGGCTAACCCTCCACACTGCTATAAAAGTTCATAAATAACCCAACTTCCCTCTGTCAATGAGGCATCAAAGTCGCTCCTTGTGATACTTTCCTACATATGGCTTTGGTGGTGCAAACTCCAATGTACTCCATGTTTCTAAAAGACCCAGCCACACAGAAACACCACCCTCCTTAAATATTGGAACTTTGAATACCACATAATTTTTATCAGAGTCTTCTGGGAGGCCAGACCTCAGGAATTAAATGGGCATTTATTTACTCTGGCCTAGCAATGGAGCAAACCCCTTGCAAGGATGCTCACAAAACCAAGAAACCCAACCTGGGAATGTCCCTGAGGCAGATAGGAAAATGGTTCCCAGAGGCTAAAACCAGACTGTTAATCAAGAAATAGGTGCATCTGTGGAAACAAAAAGTCTATCAAAGCCAGGAGAAAAGTACTTTGATTTTGAATTTTTCAGTAATAAATTCAATACTCATCTAACCAGCAACACTTATTATTTCTTTACTGACAGTATTGCTTTCTGTATTATTTTTAAAAATAAACAAGACTGAAGCTGGCTTATCATTGAATATTAGCTTTTCTCAGCAAATTTGATTTACCCTTGATGAATGAAAACTAAAGAACTTCCTATTCTTAGAAGGGCATGTAGTGATAAGAAGAGGGCTAATGGCTTTAAACTGACAGAGGGGAGATTTAGATTAGATATTAGGAAGAAGCTCTTCCCTGTGAGGGTGGTGAGGCACTGGCACAGGTTGCCCAGAGAAGCTGTGGCTGCCTCATCCCTGGCAGTGTTCAAGACCAGGTTGGACGGGGCTTTGAGCAACCTGGTCTAATGGAAGGCGTCACTGTCCGTGTCAGGGGGTTGGAAGAAGATGATCTTTCAGGTCCCTTTCAACCCAAACCATTCTATGATTCTGTGATTCTATAATTCTTGTGGCCTTAAAAATTTAATCTGAATTATATGTAGGTTGAAATCATATTAAATATTTTCTTCCTTGAAGTTAACTGAATGAATCTCAGCATTTTTCATGTACCTTAATCCTTTTCTCTCTGAATGCCATTTTCTGTCTCATTATATTTAAGATATTCAGAGTACCAGCATCCGCTTTGAAATACCTTTCGAAAGGACCTGACATTTTCCTCAATCTTTTTCGACGGGTACTCCAGAGATGCTTTCATCAGACATGCCTCTGAAGCAAATGTTCATTATTAATAGCAATATTTCAGAGAGCACCAGCCCACTGACCTCCTGATCATACATCTGGAAGGGGTCCAGTGACATTTTAAGTTGCCTTTTTTCTATACCCGCACCTGACTTGTTTTGGCTGGGATATACTTAATTTAATTGCTTATCTGAATTCTTTTCTTAAATCCTTGGTGGTGGAAACTGCGATATCCTTAGGTGAGCCATCTAATACTTCATTTTCCCTATGATTACAAAGATTTTCCTAAAAGCTAGCTGAAGTCTTCTCTGGTGCAAGCTCCCAAATCTGGAAGGTGCTGGCAGGCTGTGTGCCTGGATTGGAAACGGGAAAAAGGCGCATCAGGTATAAAATAAAGGCTCTTTTCCAGGAGCAAGCTGTCCATGACACCATAACACTATTACAAATATACTAATGAAGAGCCAAAGATGCTATAGCTAAAAATGTGACACCTACAGAGAAAGAGTCAGGCTCAGAATCACAACCTGCAGTGAAAGGTGAAAGTGTATAAAAGTAGCAGTCTGAACAAATAAGACTCCAGTAATAAGAATCCTTTTCTCCCATCTGACAACAACGTTAAAGCATCAGAGAAAATAAAAAAAAAAACAGATAGTTCAGGATTTTGTTTTCAATTAAGTTGTTTCATAACGTACTGAGGAAGTGTGCAGCAACAGTTTGCAAATCAATAGTTACTTGCCATGGGCTTTCAAAGGAGCTGACAGCCAGCGGGTCTCTGCTCAGTAGTTAGTCACCCTACCAGAATGTACAGTAAATCAATCAAGTCAGTGATGAAAAAGCTAGCAGGAGAAGTGACAAAGTAAAAAGAATTGGATCGTTATAACCGTGGGTACTGTTTGATTAAAAAATACATGTGGAAATGAACTAGTTAGGTGAAAGATGACACATTCACAGAGAATTTCTCATAGATTGGTTAGGACTCCTGGTTTTCTTAAAAGACAAAAGAATTTATTTTTATATTTTCAAATAATAAGGATGCTCCATCCCTGGCAGTGTTCAAGGCCAGGTTGGACTGCACTTTGAGCAACCTGGTCTTAGTGGAAGGCATCCCTGCCTGTGGCAGGAGGGCTGGAACTGGATGAGCTTTAGGATCCCTTTCAACTCAAACCATTCTATGATTCTATGGAACTTCAGTGCTTCACCTGGACAACCAGCTCGACATGAAAAGCTCTGCTGAGTTTGCTGATAAGGTCCAGGCCTTATTCACCCACTGTGTAGCTTCCTCCCACAAAATAAATTTTTGAAATAAATTTTAAAGACGCTTGAACCTTACACACCTCAAGCACAAAAAGATGCCCAACAGCAATCCTGGCTTCCCACTTTTCCACAGATAGTTCCTATCTCCACTATCAGGATGACCACACAGGACATCCTCAGAAGGGGCCACCATGTCTTGAAAGTGGCCTGCAAAAGAGTAGGGAGCACAGTTCACTGCCAGGTGACAACAGACAAGTTCAGTCTGAAGCACCAGATATAACAAAAAACCACAGACATACCTTCGCTGGGCATGGGAGCTCAATGCTCCATTTTGGTTTTCCACCTTCTGCCGATTACAGGGTTTAGAAAGTTAATCTGCAATACTGCAGAATTACCGCAACACACAGCTGTGCCCAAGACATATTTGAGCACATCGGTTTTGCTTACTGCTTTGGATACCTGGGAGTTGTGGTCAACCATAAAGCTGCCAATTAAAGCAAATTTATACCTTTAGCAAGCCTGTTGAGAGAAATTTGATGTCAGTGAGTAGTCTGAGAGAGCAAGGCTTCCATCTCCATCACCTTAAGATCCATGTTCTACCACAAAGAAATTGCTGCATGGCCGTGTTTCATGTCCTAACAGATACGTAGATGCTTTGAACTTCCTGAAATCAACTTAGTGGAAAGGGAAATTCAGGATTATTTTTGTTTGCATAAAGTAAAAAAAGTGACTAAGAGATTTACTTGAGAACAACTTCTCATATTTTTGAAAGCCCAAGATATTATTAAAACATTGCTCTCCACCTAAACATTAATGGGTAATAAAATATGAATCTGCACACTAACAGGAGCTAATAGTGGCATCCTCAGGATGCTAAACTAGCCCAGGCTTGTGAGGTGCAACTCACATGAGAAGCATTAGCCCAAGAAAAACTTGGGGGAGGTTTGTAAGAAAAATGTGTTTAAAGACTACTCCATTTATTCACGAGTACAGAAGACCTGACATTGCTCCTTCCACCAGTTTTCATTCCCTCTCTTGGGAATTACACCTCTGAGATCTGAGATGCAATTCTGCTTTACTGATAAAAAGCATAACACTTTCCTTCTTCACACAAACCCCTATAAAAAGAGGGGGTTTCTGTACTTAGCTCTAGCAAATTAATATCCATTTCTGTATTATACAGTGTCTTGAACACCTCTGTACTGGCCTAAAAGATACGAAACCAGTTGTTGTTGAAATGGCTGAGGGCACAACTGACCAGCAGCTAAGCAATGACTGCTTAAAATCATTGCAAAAGGAATTAAAAATATCTGTGCAGGATACATGTGATATCTTATGCTACAGATGCAAGTCCAAGGAAGATGCAAATACAACATTTATATGCACATGTGAAAAGTATACTAGGCTCTAATGAAAGCTGCCACCAGAGTGTGTAAAGGTAAGTAACTAAGCAAACTACAATGAAACATAACCATATAAAAAATAAATTAAAATTAAAGAAATATGTAGGGTATCTCTAAAGCTACACGTGTACAGCAGACCTATGGCTTCAACTTTCCTGGCTTAAGCTGCTGAGTTTAGTAAATCCACCACAGGCTGTTTGATGTCCAGTGAACACCACCAGGAAGGTGGGAATCTCACTGATAAGTCCAAATAATTAATTTGGATTATTGGCCCTTTTAAAACTACAATCTCAGTCTCCTCCCATTGCCAGTTTATGTCTGTGCTTTCATGGTTAGTTTTTGGTTTTTCCTTGGAAATTTATTATTTCTGTTCCTTTCTTATGCTTTTCAAGATGTTTCACATCTGGCAGGGATATTTCTATGGAATTGGATAGATCTACACTAAACAAAGCCGATATAACAATGCCTCCCAGTGGAAGGATTCATTTCACCTACTCAGTCGTATTTCCTCAGATTAAAGCTGAATTTGCGTAACCAAGTGAAAAAAGACCTGATGGGGGATTGTCATGGACAGTTCAGTAAAGACATCTGTCTGCAAAGCTGCAAAAAATATGTATGCAAGTGAAAAGCTCAGGCAAATACAAAACAGGGAAAGAATACCAAGGTACAGCTTCACCTGCTGATTCTACTGCTCTGAACTCCTTTTTTCATAAAGACATAAGCGGAAGACAAATGAGAAATAAATAATATTCAAGTCTTTGTGCAACCTCCACTGCAGAAAAGATTTGATTACAGTCAGGGGAAAGGCTGTAACAAAGAGTAGAAAGGATGGACGTAAAATAGTGAATGAGAAACTTGGCAGTAGAACTGAAAGATATTTGTGTTTTGTGAAGTACTGATAGAACAAGAGGATGAATCAAAACTGAAATGAATGTCAGGAAATACACTGTATACTCTGTATTCAGCCTGGTGTTCAGCCATCATCACCCAGTTTGGTGTAGCAGTTATGTGTCCTTGGCTGAGCTTTACTGAGAAAATAGCTGTTGAGCTAAAAACTGTGCAAACTAAAGCCATAAAACATAAGGAAACCTAAACCATAGAAAGAAGTGTAAATGTAGAGTCAAGTACTGACACAGGAAAGATATAACCCTGCTCACCTCCATAAAGTAAAGAAGGTAAATCGTCAAGAAGGACCAGTTTATCCTCAGAAGCAATAGAGACCAGTATTTTCCAGCTGAATGACAACACCTAGGCATTTGAATACTTAACATAGAAATCAGACCCAACTATCTTCTGTGTGCACTAACCAGTAAATAATTGTGTTTGTTCTGCTTGCAAAGTCACTTTGCACACAGTAAAAGACTCCAAAATAAAAGGGAGGGGAAGAGGTTAGGCAGAAAATATTGTTCAATATAATATGTAACAGAGGACAGCTGATGCCAGGAGCCAAGTAATATTCAAACAAGCACGTCTGATAAGCACATCTGAGGATGTTCTCTTCGCTGCGTAAGCAGAGAGAGGCTTTGAAAACAGGTCATAAACCTTACATGGCATAAGGGAAAAGGGAACAATTAAAATGCAAGCTAGTAACCTATCACTAGAGAGAAAAAAAGAGAGAGTATTTCTTCACTTTTTGCTATAAAGCCTATTGCTAGTCACTTTTGGCTACCTGGAGCAGCACTGTCTATTGATGCTAACTGTTGACACCATCTTTCTATCACATTCTCTTCTGTCCATCCTGGATTTTTCTTTCTAGTATGAAGAAATATTGTCCTGGGTTCAGCAGTAGCAGTCATTTTTCCCCTTCTTGGTAGCTGGTGCAGTGCAGTGTTTTGACTTTCAGCTCGGGAACAGAGCTGATAACAAGGATATTTTGGTTTGGCCAAGGACTTTGTGAGCCTCATGCTCTGCCAGGGAGGAGGGGGAGCCGGGAGGAAGCAGAGACAGGACACCTGACCCAAACTGACCAAAGAGGTATTCCATACCACAGCACGTCATGCCCAGGATGTAACTGGGAGTTAGCCGGAAGGGCTGGGGGACTGCAGAGTTGGAGGAGGTATGGGTCGGTGCTTGGTCGGGCTGGGGGGGGCGAGTTATCGGTCGGCTGGTGGTGAGATGATGTATTCTCTTCCCTTGTTATTTCCTTTATCATTATTATCATTGGTGGTAGCAGTAGTGATTTGTGTTATACCTTAGTTACTAAACTGTTCTTATCTCAACCCGTGGGAGTTGCATTCTTTTCGATTCTCCTCTCCGTCCCTCCGGGAGCAGGGGGAGGGCAAGAAAAGGGGGGGAAGTGAGCGAACGAATTACCTGACTGGGTTTAAACCACGACAAATATGCAATTACGCATCTAATGCACAGCAGCTTCTGCCTTCTTTGTGAGTGCCTGCAAGGATGCAATAGCATAGTCATATTTCAAAGATGAATTACAAAATCATTACCAATTACTGTCAAATAAAACCCAGCTATGATGTCAGCTTCTTTAGAAAGCTTTGATGCAAAGGGGTCTTCCTTCTGGAGATAGTGTGGGAGGTATTCTTCTTGGGAGGAAGTATTATGATCTGATGCCATCCCATTCATGTCAAGTTCAATGTCTGAAAAACAAAGAACAGTGTCTGATAGAACAAAGTTTGCAATAGATCATGTCTGCCACACGAAAATGCGAAGACATTTTTGTTCATATACAAGATGCATCCTCCTGTCTCCATTTCTTTTCTGCCATTTCCCAGGGCATTTCAAGATCCAGTTCAAAATTTCATAGGGCATCCTACCATGATTTATTTCACGTCTTACTTTAACCCAGGAATGTCATTATTCATATGGCATCCAGCACAGTAATCCATCTGAGCAGCACCTAGGTACCACTGTGTTGTGGCTCTCAAGCAAGAGCTCCTGAAGCACCTTTTGTGAATATCTTAAGAAGCTTCATGTTTCCAGCTGGGTGTAAGAGTGACCCAAGACTGAGAATACAGAAAAACCAAGCAGGGCAATTGTTTGTGTCTGAATAGTTTCATTCCTCAATGTGTTTAATGCATACTGAACTTGTCTTTATCTATACACACTGCTCTTGTAAGCTTCAGAAACTAGGAATTATCAGTAAGACAGTCCCAGCAATTTCTACATATCCTGAGGGGAACTATGTTTACACATTGCAGCTTTATAAATTTTACAGTTCAGTGAAAAGCTACATCCATATTTTCTCCTTAGAGTTATTTAGGTGGTGGGATCTGATGTAAATAACCTTACATGTCTCTGTTTATAAACAGTAATTGGCTATTACAGTTATGAAGAAACTGCAGGAGTATTAAATAACAGCCTCATCTAGGCAAGCTTGTTGAGATCTTTTTCCATTTCTTTTTGTGTGGAACTGTGCTATTGAGGTCAAATGTGCTAAGATCAATAAAGCGAACCCTTATATAGGAAAAGACAGACACCCGTGAAGTTACTCTTCCAGGACAAACTGAAGAAGCGTAAGATATAAACCATTTCTGTGACGTTTGAAACCACCCAGCCAAAAGCTATTCAGAACATTTAGTCATACCAGTTCTCCTTGTCAGTGCTTGGTAGGGCAGGAATGGCATGCAGGAACTTAGCACTTGACTCCCAGGACTCCCATACTTTTTGCTGTGGGATCTGGGAAAAGTTGTGAAGCTCTAATTTTTTCCTCTCAAGAGACCAAATTTGTGGGGAGAGTACATGAGGAGAAAAAATACTTTGTTGTTTTACCCATTTCTACCCCTTCTCACCTTGAAGGGCTGCATCAATAACAGCCCTTTACAGCCAGAAATGTAGCAGATGACACCTACCTATACCTAAAGTACCCACAACCCTCTCTCTGCTGTTCCTCTAGCTTTGAAAGGAAGATCTTGTTTAAGGGAATCAGATCATGAGCATGAAAGCACACTGCCACTCTAGACATGAAAGAAGCCAAAAGATATCCAAGCATATGGCTCCAAGTAGCACTAAGAATTTAAAGTTTAGCAGCTTCATTGCTTTTATTTCTTTTTTTTTTCCCCAATAAAGTTAAAAAATAAGCAAAGGCTGATTAATAAAAAAATACCTTAGGTGTTTTTGTGAGTACTTTTCTCCTTTCACAGCTGTGCAGAACAAGCACTCAAATGTTCTGCACTGCTGCAGGTGGCAAGTTTCATTAGGTACCATGATATAGCAGCCTGGATATGGGCTAAAACGACTGTCTTGTACAAAAGGGTAGACTAAGGCATGAATCTGGGAAATAAAATAATCAGACTGATCATCCTTTCCATCCAATTATAGCCACAGGTCTTGATCTAAATTCCACTTGGCCTTTAAAAGGATCCTGGTATTTTTCTCTCACCCAGCTTGCATGGTACTACAACTCTTACACAGCTGAAGGATTTGAACCATGTGGGTGGATGAAGTGATGCAAGTGGAAAAGCACATCTGGGATCTGTCCGCACAATTTGAATTTGGTATAAATAAGTATCAAAGTGTCTGAGGGCATGTTTCTGTTCCTGAGACACACTAAAATCTGCCACTCAAGCCAGTATTATTGTCAAATATCATTTTTATTCTAAACTTCTGTGTATATCGCAGAGCCCGTTACACAAGCATCAGCTGTAGAATCGCCTTGTCCTCCTACACCCACCCTGGCTGCTGCACTGGTAACACAGATCATGAGCCCAGCACACCCGGTGACAAACACTGCCTTACCTTTTAAATACCTGTCTTTCAGTACTCATTCTTCCCCAGTTTGATGATGACTGTCAAAACTCATTTCTATGATGCACATCCTTAGCCAACTGTTTCCCAGCAGTCCAGCTAACTGTAGTATTTAGCAATGTAAATAACAATGACCAGAAAACTTTATCTCAAAATAACCACAGAGCACAATAATAAAAGATTTCCTTAAGAAAGGTCTTGATTAAATTTCAATTTGGAGCTAAAGTCTGAAGACTCAAGCTATGGACTAGAATCTGTCTTTTGTCTTTAGTAGACTTGCTTAACAAACAGGCTGCTGGTTTTTCAAGGGGAGAGTCTCTCACGCGTGTTGAAGAGGAATCATCACTTTGAATTCATAAAGTCTAAGTTTTAAACTAACATTTCCTACATTTCAGGTGCAAGTGCAAACTGCTTCAGCACATCAGAAAGCTGCTTTTGTGCTAATAATGACAGAAAACAGTAAAATTTAAGTGTCTCCTGCTTCCTTATAAGAGAATCAGAGAGCTTTCAGAATATCAACTTTTTGATTTTGATACTAGGAGATACTTTATGCCCACCTATCGCAGAAGTTATGCCCAACCAACATAGTGCAACACTGGAAGGACATGAGTAAGAGAAGCTACACTCAGATCTGTGAAAGTAACACAGATCTGAGATTTATGTCGCCAATCTCAAGCTAAACACCCTGCTGCGAGGTGAAACTTGAATTTTCAGTTAAAGCCCTTTTTAGGTGCTTCTATTAACCTTCAGTCTTAAAAGTATGCAGTGAAACGTATTGCTGAGTTTTGAAACAATGAAGTAAGAATTAAATAATATAAAAATTCACAAGTGGCATGTGAGTGTTGGTAGCTGCTTTTACATTAGTAAGTGGTGCAGACCTACAGAAGTAGATCTATAGAGCTGCTGATTATACAGTTATTATAAAGTTCATTATACAGTTATTATGTTGTTATGCAGTTGCTGTTGAGGACCTTCATTTTCCAAAGGCTGTACACTTTTTGAGCACTAGAGATCAAGAAAAAAAAAGAAAAAGAAAAAAATGCAAATACATGAAAATAACAAAATAGTGACTGGTAAGATAAATCTTGTTTTAATTGAGTCCTTGACTCTAATTAATAAGCATGGATTAAACCCAAGGTTTTCAAATGATGTCCTGCAATGTAAGCGTTCCACCTAACATGGTATGCAGTTAGACAAGCACTGGAAAATAAATGAGTTATCAAGGACTGTTTTCTTCTCACTTCCTCACAAGACTAAAGGATTCTACTTTGCAATAGGTCTCCAATGACCAAAGTGTGGGAACAGAGAGCACTACACCACAGCCTACCATCTAGCTCATCTACAGGCCATCTTTCCAACACATCCCTTGCTGAAAGTCCCTGAGTGCCTGTAAAAACAGATTTAAAACCATAACAAAAGAAACCAATCCACTGCTTCCTATTAGAAATGGACTCAAGCTTATTCCTGTGCTGCAGGCATTCATATTTAATTAATACAAAAAGTTCCATTTTTAAATAATATATTCTTTAAAATGGAACTGTTCCACTATAGCCAACCTCAGGAGATCCAAAATCCTCACTCAGACACTATAAAACAGCAATATCAAGCCTCAAAACTTCTGAGAATAATAATAATACCAAAAAAAGAGCAATTTAAGTATTTTTCTTTGGCTTAATCAATGCAGTTTTGCCAGCCTTACATCAGCTTTTCTCCCTGCTGCCTCCTCATGTCCTGTTGTGATGTTTCATCATGTCAAGTGCTCCTTGGCCAGGCTCTTCTCGCCCTGAGGAAGGAAAGGACATGCCATCCCCACCTCTTTCGGGAATGAAGCAGACCACAGAATAGCAGCAACTTTCCTGATCCCTTCTTCCTATAGAGAGGGCACTGAAGGACAGGGAAGAAAAATCTCCATTTTTCCTGCAGAGTATCAACCACCTGATGTTTTTCCTAAAGTCTGGACATATCCAGGGAATTTTCACCTGGGGCTGCCAGAAGCAGCAACCAGAATGTACCTGATAATTACCTGCTATTTATCAGGCACTGACATCTGGTTTCAGAGTTTTTTAAACCCCTCCATGGCTGGCAGACTCCAGACACAGAATGAGATTATCCGTGCCCCAGGTAAACTCCATCATGTGAGGTTAAAGTCACATCTACCTCTGCAACATCATCTGGAGAAAACAGGAGCTTCATGGTAACTGTACCTCAGCAGCTGCAAAAGACTTATGCAGTCTGTCTAGGCTGTGGCTTTGTCCATTTATATTTTGTCACACACCATGACTTTGTACCTGTCCATCTTTTCCATTTTAGTCCACCTGAGTTCCCATCTTCTGAAGGAGATTCTTACAGTCCCTTACTCTCTGAAGGGAGATGAAATATCTGAAGTACCAAGCAGAGAACAACCCCCTGGTGCCTGCAGAGTTTCATCCCTTCGACTTGATGGCCAATTTTCAGCAAGTTGCTAAACCTCTTTCCCCAGAAGGAAAACAGTGAATTTGTATCTACAGCAGAGGTGGGCTGGTGGACTAATGTGTGCTGGTGTAATGGTTCTCAAGCTAGTGATAGGAGCAATAATAATGTGTCCTACTGCTTTGGAAAATTACTATAGACCACAAGCTCTCCTAAGAGATGTAAAGGCATGCAATGCTTTTATGAGGCAAGAATGAACCTATTAGCTTCAGTAATAAGAGACTATGATTTTGCAGGTGATGTCATACTTGGAGACTTGAAGCTGGTTTTTAACCCAGGATAGCATTTTTGAAGACTACTGGTTTATTTATAATGAGGAGATCAAAACTGAAATTTCAGATTCATCTCAGCAGCCTGTTTTCAATTATTGATGTGAAAAATCACAAGCATTATATTTTCAAATTGCTGCATTTATACAGTTAGTCCTCAATGTCCAAAGGGCACATAACACCCACAAGCCTGAAGTCATCTGAATTTTACAATTTAATTGTGGGTTTGTTTTCCTATAGTTCAACAAAACAACAAATAATGCTTTCTTGTGGTGTAATGCCTGCTAATATCCCTGACAGCAGCCATATATATGCCTGTGTCCAGAA